CATACCAGATAATACAATTAAATCGGTAGAAGTAAAAACAGCATTTCTATGTGTTTTTAAAAATTGCGCGAAATACCTTTCGGCATATTTAGCATTCTCAATACTCGCAAAGCTAAAAAGCATATCAGAATTCTCGCAATAATTTCTTGAGAAAGCATGCTGGCATCAGCAGACCGTTTGTCAGGGCAATAGTCAATGAGCAAAAATCTTTCAAACTATTTTTCCGTAAAAAGCGTAATATATTCGAGTCAAAGAAACATTTGCCATAGGAGAGAATGCGTAAGGGCAACGTACCAACTTCATCAAATTCAATTGACCTTTGTATTTATTTGTTAATTCCATTAGCTCAGAGAAAGTTGGTTCGATTGGGAATTTAATACTTTTGCTGTCTCTTATTGTCGCTTCCAGGTTCTCGATGTAATTGCGCTCTATATTTTCACTAACCAATTCATCCAGATGATCTTTAATTTTAATAATTTCAGCTATGTGAGCTAAATGCAATTCTAACGTTGTCCATAGTTCGGAGAGATAAGCAAAATGCGGCTGGAAATAGTAAATTTAAAGACAAAAATCATTTTGCCCATATAAAATGCATCGAGTCTTACGAATATCAGTTCGGATTCGACGGCAGAACGAAATTTTACGATTTCATTTATCTTATTTACAACGCAGTCGAACTTCTTCTCATTGACATCAATTAAGTATTGAGTCTTGTTAAATATTGTTTGCTAATGGATCAGATAGCGCCTTTTAACCTTTTGCTCGTTGACATCGAGAACGATAAGGCCCGCGAAGCACTCATTGCCTTTCGCTATCAATTTAATCGCCCGGTCTATACTTGCCTTTATAGCTTCTTTGACATTCTTCTTAGCCATCGCTAGATCGGAAAAGACTTTAAAGGCCGAAAAGGATATTTTGGAATGTGTTAGTTCTTTAAATAATAATTATACACACATACTGTCTCGAACACATTCCGGATCGCCTTGAAAAGCATGATCGTTGAATATTAATATGCCGCATACAATGGCCCCTAAACGTTGCAAACGATTGTATTTCTTTTTTAATATATAATTTTGTAGATCCTTTTTGCCTATAATGCTGTTCAAACTCTCTTCGGTTTTCTTTAGCAGCTAAAGTAAATGTATCATCAATTATGGGACGAATAATATGAGTTCAATTGTTACACTTCCCTTACCACGTGATCCTTCGGCGATACTACTACTACTATGCGTGGAAGCTTAGTTTTGTTAAGTTTCATGACTTTTTTGTAAATGGAAAAATTCATAAGAGAGAAAGAGATGTACGAGAAAGATTAATTGAAATCTTGAATGTGGCAACTGCCGACTATCGCGCATAGTTCCAGTATAATTCATGTTCTGATTATGAATTTAATTATCCCATTCCACAGTTACTTCCGTTAAAAAAAATGAGTGCACATAAATTACTCCCGCTTAATTTGCTCAATTTTGTTGTTAAACAAAAATTTTTATTTTTGAGTTTTTTGAATTTTTTTTTAGATATTTTGTGATTTCTTCAATTTTTCACCGCGTTTAATTTTTTTTGCAACTTGCTCGCTCGGAAGTGATACCGATTACATGTGATATACATAAATTCATTTTCTTTTTCAAGTCTTCAAAGTAAATATCACTGAGATGCTTTGTAATTTCCGGATCGCAAGATCTCCAAGCCCCATCGGGAACGCAAGCCACCTGGCCATTCGCAACGTTCCGTCACAAATTGCATCCACATCTGTGCAAATGTGATAATACCTAAAGCCAATTCTAGTTGGTCCTGAGCTTGGCTTGCCATAATGCGTGCAAGTGTACAAGTTATAAACATTTCTTTATTTTGAACAGCACATAATTACAATTGAAGATCGAAGTTGAGGATTTATGTAGCCCTACAAGTTTGTGGTGGCCATCTTCAGGGTTTCATTATTTTCGGTGATGTACAGCATTAGGGATGAAAAAAACTGTCGCCCGCGAATTTGTTGGCAAGATTCTACAGTCTAAAGTTTGAAACATTCTCTCCGCACCCTGTATTGAGAAGCGAGTTTCCGACTTTTCACAATAAACAAAAGTGATGCATTGCTTTTCTCAATATAAAAATAAAATTCCTCCTCACTTATGCGCACGTAATCAAATTTTAAGAATTTTTATTTTTTTTATTAAAACTACATACATACAATTATGCACACGCACTTCTCACATAATTTATGTTACGTTATAACTTTTATGATATCTTAGAAATGTTTATTTTATATTTATTGTATATAAATCTGTTTGTTTTTAATTCGTTTCTCTCTTGTCGTGTATTTCAAATACTTTTCGATATAAAATTAAATAAATTATTTTTTTAATAAAAATAAAACCAAAAACCTAAATTATATTAAAAAATGAAAACATACAGGATCTACGTGACATGGACATAACATAACATAACATATTTTCCATTCTTAATTTAGTTTTGATGTCGGTTTGAAACAATATATAGAGTAAATTAAGAATCGTTGCTCTCCATATTTTATTCAAGCAAATATTATTAGTATTATTAGTTTTCATATATATATATTTTTTATATATATAAATAATTATGTTTGTAATAAAAAGTCTGCATATAATTATTTTCATTTCGTTAAAAATCAAATATTTATATTTTTTATATATTTTGAATTATGAGAATTTTTTTTATTTTAGACTTTTTAGTTTAGTTTCAAAGTCATTGATAGATACGACAGTCACATCAATACTCTGAAAGGAAAACTTTTGTAAAATCTCTTAAGAGTAATTTTATGCGAAAAGGAAAAGAAAATGAATAGTAAAGAAAAATTCCGAAGTCCATATGCCATTATTTTGTTGTTGTTTTTTTTTTTCTTGATTTTGTTGTAAAAAATAGATAGGTTTGCTTTGCTGTCAGTTAACATCCAACACAAGCTATTATACAAAGTTGTTCTTAACAGCAGCCACTACTTGCTGACCCAGCTTGGCTTCCAGTTCCGGGCAGTGCTGGATACGTCGGGGAATGTTGTTGACCAATTTTAATGCCATTTGCCTGATATTTGCAATAAAATAAGGAACAATCAATATTTACTTATGACTACAAAATTTTTATTAAATAAAAAAATTATTTATCTTTTTTCCATGTGTTCAAGGGTAATTAGCAAATAGTGTAAACAATCGAGTGATTGCAAAATTGCAAAAAAGAAGTTGTTTTTTTCGTTAAGCAGTAATAACTTTCTTTTTATTATTTGTTATATTTCGCTTCCGAAATTTTCCGCGCTTTTTCCATCACTTTCACGATTACTCTACAAAGACAGTACGAAAATTAGTTTTCCCCCTTTTCAATTAAATTAAATCTTCCTTAACGAAAGTTGTTAGAGGTTAAATAGGGTTCAAAGTTCCAAGGAACAAATTTATGGCAATAGAGTAAATTTTTGAAATAATTTTTTGAGTATTGAGTACACGTCCTTTCAAAACGCAGAAGGTTACCTTTGATATAAGATGCAATTGTAATATTAAGGTGGGCGAATTGCCTTTCCACTGCTATTATTTACTACGTGGAGGAAGATGATAAAAAACTACACCTCTGCGATCCCAGCAGACGCATGCATTTCAGATAATCTTTTCACATGCACTCATTGTACTGCCACTTAATTTTACTTATTATGTTATTGCAATTTCGATTTCTCCAAAGATGAGATGACATGACAGATTAATCAAAATAAGATTCCTTTTATTGGCGGACCGGAAGAAAAGTAGTTGTGAACGTCTATTGAAGACTATTTGTTTCACTCTCACCAAAGTATACAAAACTCTATTTTCGTAAGGATGTTAAGTCCCGAAGAGAAAGCGATAAAAAGGCTTTATGGCTTTTGACGTCTGCAGTCAGCAATCTCTTAAATGACGTGATCCATAGGTCCTCTCGGGTGAAGTTGATCGCTTAGAATGTTCGACCATTTCGCGTAAATTTTTCTAAGGGCAGGAATACCATCCAGATAAAGGTCTTGGTTTCAAATATAGACGTCTGGAGTATTTACTTAAGTTTTTTCTTCAATTTTAGTTATATTAATTCTCCTCATGAGTTCATTTTTTTACGCACGACGGACTTAAATCCATTAATAATATGATTGTAAAGATAACCTGAGCACAATGAAAAGTCCCTTGTCTGGCAAGAATTTTTGCAATCACCCCGGTATCGGTTATAAACAACAGAGCTAATTAGTTGCCAACTTGGAAATTTAATGCTCAAAAACGTAATCACTTACCTCATTATTGATATCGAAAACCCCTTCTTGAATTTTTTCATATATCTCTTTTGCTGTATTAATGAAAGCCTCCTCCACATTTGCTGCAGTGCGAGCTGATGTTTCCATAAATACTAAGCCGTGTTCTCGGGCAAAAGCCTCACCCTCTTCTTTTTTAACTTCTCGGCGTGATTCCAAATCGCTAAAATTGGAAGGAATACGCTTACAATTCGATTTTGCGAATATTGTGTGTTCCTTAATTATCAAATTGATCCTATAACTATTAACATTTACAACATATTATAATAAATAATAACTACTATATAATTACTATATAATGAGGCGCAAGTATTTGTATTAAGGTTATTAATATTAAAAATAAATTATCAAAAATCCGGAGATCAATGAGTTTATAGTGGGGCACAAATTAACTTTCCCACGCGGTAAATAATGCTGCCTTGTTTATTGCATAAGTCAGTATTATTCACGCATAACTTGTGGAACTGAGTAAAAAAGTTATCTTCCGTGGTTGGATGAAATCAATAGATAAAATTTGAACTATTTTTTTTGTAGAGACTATAGTTGGCTAATCGAAATCATCTTTGGATTAAAAATGTACAGCCTCTTGATGAAGGAATTCTAGAGTGCAATGTGCACATTCTTATACCCACAGGCAAAGGATACGCATTATATTCGTTTTATTAAAACAGAGGTAAAACTGCACAGACCGCCTAAAGCATACATAGTCTTGATCAAGAAATAAATTTCTAAAACGATCTAAGAATGTCCGTTTCATTAGTTATATATTTCATATATATATATTTTTGATTCCAAGTTCTAAAATAGGGTTTATTGCCTCTTGTGATGGCCTCGCGCGCAACTTTAAATGCGAACTGTAGCCATGCAAAAGTGCATTTCCAGCTTAATCTTTGTGATGGCGTATGCCAACAATCGATAGAGAACGAAACGTATGAGCTTGGAAAAATCGGCTAGAAATCTTCAAATGACCAACAAAATATGGAATCGTTGTAGCATTTTATACGTTATAGTATATTATAATCTTTCTGCAACTAATGGCAAACTTAAACTGTTCTTGAACGTAATCTTTCTTAGTCGTTAACTGCTAGAAAGAACATCTATTATGCGGGCGTATCAATTACCCCATCAAAGGAATGATTGCACTGAAATTTTCGCAAAAGCTATATCTATTGTTGTATAGGAGAGTTCCGAGTAGTTCATGCTCGTTTTAAATTGGTGTATCCATTAACAAAACACATGTATGCCACATTCCAGCCAGCACTCTGAGCGTACAAGAATGAATGGCTCAACGAACGTGGAAAAGTAGATTTTGTATCTAAGGCCGCTCAAAAGTATATTCACAATCGGTGAGCATATTTATTAGTGTTGCAAACGGTAAGACAAACTTAATATATCGCCCAACCTCAGCTATTAATATATATAACATATCAATAAATGACGGACTGTGTATTTTAAATGCACAAATGCATTTTTAAATTTAATTTAGGTTAAAAAAAGATTTGCGTGTTGCATTATAAGCGCGCTACATTACTCGCTATATTGTATCTCGAAAGCTCTATTTATTTATGCCAGACTGCATAATTAGGTTAATTACATTTCACTTGATCACGCAAAAACTGCGTTAACACATATCAATAGCTGCTGCATAAGACGACGTGAACGAGATAAGGAAGAAAAAAATCATGGTGGTTTTGTGCGTTTATACATTTAAGGAATTAACAGTAGGCATAATTTTACTTGTATCTTTCTCTTGCAATTTTTGATTTACCTTTTATTGCCTATCAGCATTATAACCATATTTGAGTTTGAATGTTGCCTGGCATCCTCTAGCCATGTAGTTAAGTGATTAAACGTATCACGTCTTGTGATATCGTAAACCAGTAAAGCACCAGCGGCTCCACGATAGTATGAACGTGTTATAGATCTAAATGCTTCCTGTCCGGCGGTATCCCAAATTTGTAATTTAATCTGTTTACCATCTATTGTTATCATACGGGCTCCAAATTCTACACCAATTGTTAAATCGTGCACAGGCTGGAAACGTTTATCGGTGAATTGCAACAATAGACATGATTTACCAACACCTTAAGGGGAAGAGAAAAACAATATAGTAATTTTCATATACTCAATGGTAACTTTTGGAAATTTAAATTCATTTTAAAAAGTAATTTCTTTTTAAAGGTTTCGTTAACCTCTAAGAGTATTTTGATTCGGCCAAGCCCACCTTTTCGACGCAGTTATTACTCAGACACTTGAAATACGCACTGAATGCACAAGTAAAACGGTTCGCGCACCACCTTTTGTTTTAACTTAGTTAGTTAAGCCACTTATTTCAAAATAATAAACAATGAACGCAATAAAGCAATGAACGTACCATGCATCGTATCAGAAAAAGGGATTGGCTTTTTTTTTTAAACCTACCTAGTTCTATCCACTCAGAGAAATAAATATGAAATAACGTGGAAACAATTCCAATTAATCTTTTTCCACTGCCTACGAAATCGTTTATAAAGGTAAAAAAGTCATGCAAGCGTGAAGGGACTTAATGACTCCGTATTCGAGTATGCATACAAGTTCGTAAAGGCTAAAACGAATAAACACATAACCCTCGTATAGTACGACGGCTTTAATACGGTTTGCAAATTAGGAGATATACTTCCTTCTACCGTCAGTAATAATGTGAATAATAATGCAATCTGCCAAGCCAAAAAACTTTAAAAACCCTAATGTGTGACTAATGTTTTTATTAATGTTTGCTGTATCAACAGCAAGAAAAAGAAATAATTAAAAAGAAATATCATCAGCGTTATAATCAATTGATCATGTCTGTCTGCCGGGATATTATTGCATTTCGTCAACTTCAAGGTTGTCCGTCCTACCCAGAACCATAATGTTCTGCACTATACGGTGGTTACTTATACCACATTCAGTTTCGCTATGTCAGTTTTGCTGTCCTGTTGGGGCTGGGCAATTTAGTACCTTCATATTTCTTTAATTTATTTAACACAATACTAATATAACATATCTTTAAATATGATTTTGCAAGTAATCAAGTCACTAAAGTAAAGCAGCGAACGTAGTAAAAAAATACCTCTTAATAGATGTTATTAAAACACTGAAGGGCCAGGCTTTCCTACCACATCAAAATGTAACTTATTACAACTTGATTACACGAAACGGCGAAAAGGTTGAAAACAACCCTACCTCTCATTGCTTATGGAGCATATAAATATGAAAATTTCTCTGACCATATATCATAAACGCATACATTAACAAGTATTGATTTTTCCTAGATAACTCTTTATCTGGTAACGTATATGAATAAACACCTTTTGCTATAGCAAACAAATGTTAAAATAATAATTTTGCATAATTATTTTCTTTTTAAAACTGACACAAAAAAAATCTTTCTTAATTAGGATCACGCTTGTTCGGATTTCTACTTAAAAAAACAAAAAAACACCATACATTACCTGTATCACCAATAATAATGTATTTGAATAAATAGGCGTAAGACATTTTAATTAATTTTCTTTGGAAACAGTATAATCCAATATATATATTTATAAGTTGGCTATTTATCACAAAATGCAAATATTTTCTCTTTATAATTACTGTTTTTCTTCTTTTGTTCTACAATATAATTTTCTCGCTACGCAATTCGTTTTAGTTTCCTTTAACTTTATTTTCTGTTTTCTTTGTACTTATGTGTATTATTGCCAAGAGTCCAATTTAATGCAAATTAAAACATATGATTGCCTAAAAGTAGGAACAGACATTTGAATTTATTCAAAAGAGAAAAAGTATTACAGAAAATGACATTATTTAATGAATAATTTTATTCATTTTACATTAATTTTTCCTTTTAATTTTTTTTTTTTTAAATATTATTATTATTATTATTATTATTATTATAAACTCAGCCAGAGAATAAATTCTAAGACTAAAGTCTTAAAGCACTAGCATCTAAGGCTTTCGGCTTTATTAAAAACTCTACCGCACTTGAGATTTGAACCCACGACCATTGAGTTGGTGGTCGAGACTCTTGCCTACTCGGCCACTCAGATTTAAGCCTTTGCTTTGCTTTTCGTTAGACATTTTTATTTTAAGAACTTTTTCTAGAACAAAATTATCTTTCTTGAGGAAGCGGTATCGAGGCATGCAATTGGCCACTTGTTTAGAAATCTTTGTTTTGATTTTTGTTGTTTACAATTTTTATATATTTTTCTCTTAACAACAGTATTCAATCGAATAAATTACGAAACAATTTAACTATCTTATTTCTATCATGTATATTATACTATCATATATATTAATTTTGTTATTACGATCTTTTCTTTGTATTACATCAGAAAATATGTCCAGTATATTAAAAATATACGGCTGTTGAATAAAAAAAAAAAAAATGTTAGAAAATGTATAGATATAAATCTATTTTCTTCTACACATATGCTGACAATGTACCATAGAACATAAGATAATGACAAGGCTTCCTTACATATTACCGTTCATTAGAATTGGCATTTTTCTAACTACATACTTCCTTTTCATTACGTCGGCTATTACTTTTGAAAATCCTAAAATTTTATTGCTGCTTACTGATCATAAATCGTTTAAATCACATATAGTGCTTGTTTGAAATCGTAAATGAATCTAAATATTTCTATTTTTACAAATATGGGCTTTAAAGGCAAGTAACTAAAGCAATAAAAATTAGTGAATTCAATACATAAGTATGTTGCTTCTTTGCAAATAAACTAAAATAAGTTGCCCTTTTCTTTGATAGTGTGAATATAGAAATATAAAAACTCTAACACACCTACCGATTAACGCTGATACAAATATTTTTAGTTCTCGTTTTTTTATTTGAAATATTTTCATGTTTTTATTTCTTTTATAAGTTGGCATCATTGCGCCAATCAAAAGAGAAAACGAGAAAAACTGCCTTAAACTAAGAAGAGTTTTTCTCTTGTGTGTACTGAAGTAATTTGTATTTTATAAAATTATTGATTAAATGAGTTTTTTTTTTTGTCTACAATTTTTACAACACATAAAATCACACCAAAATCTCTATAGGATTCATATATAATTTGAATAAAAAGTAAAAATATATTTGAGACAACACACATAAAACAAGCCGTCCGTCACGCATATCGTGAGGGCCAGAGTGTGGAAGGTGTGAAAGTATTAAATTGAAAGGAAAACATGAAGATGGCCGACGGTACGACTATTGTGCGTAGAAATAGACCAGGAACCAAAGCAAAGGTAAACTTATTTTAGGATTATTCTTTATGTGGCAAAAAAGTACGTATTTGACTTTTTGCATTTTAGGATTTTTGCCGTTGGCCCGATGAACCGTTAGAAGAAATGGACAGCACACTAGCTGTACAACAGTATATACAACAATTAATTAAACGAGATCCTTCGAATGTTGAATTAATATTAACAATGCCAGAAGCTCAAGATGAGGGTGTTTGGAAATATGAACATCTCAGGTGAATTTTATATGAAGAAAGGGAAATTAATTGTTTACTTACGTACTCCATCCTTTGTTTTTCTCAGACAATTTTGCATGGAATTAAACGGTTTAGCCGTACGTTTACAAAAACAATGTTCACCATCAACATGCACTCAAATGACTGCCACTGATCAGTGGATATTTTTGTGTGCGGCACATAAAACGCCTAAAGAATGTCCCGCCATCGATTATACACGTCATACATTGGATGGCGCTGCCTGTTTATTAAATAGTAATAAATATTTCCCCAGCAGGTAAGTAGCAATATAGGTAAAATTTATTAAAAAATTCTCAAATCTCATTCTTCAAACCATTCATTTTTTTGGGCGTGGTTTATAATTGGCTTTAAATTGCAGTTAGCGGGACTTAAACTGAATCTTAGGTTCGGCACTCACCCCCCAAGTAAACATGTAAACATTTTGCACATTGAAATCCTAGTATTTGTTTCATGCCAACTATTTTAGCATCAAAAGGGGGTTTAAAAAAAACCGCAGACGGTACGCAAAATTTTAGATTGATATTTTTCATAAAGGTTTCAGGCAGTTTACAATAATGTATTAAAATTTTTTTTGCAATTGTTTATCAATTATTGGCGGCTTTGTAAGCAAGAAAATATTTGTTTAGGTAACGAATTGTACTTATTCACTTAGCACCACTGTCCCCTTTTACCGCATGCGGTCCTATCTCATTCTTTTCTACTTTTTTCTCGTTGAAGTAGAAATATTGCCAAAGAGTGTGCTGAGAGAAGTCTAAATTTGAATAAAAAAAAGCAAAAACAATATACGCGTCAGTGTACCAAATTTCATCAAAATATCTAAAAAATTGCGGGCTGTAGGTTAAACACAAGAAAACAAAGCAGATGAAGAAATTGATTCCGAATCGGTCGGTATAGTAAAAGATAAATTTATTTCAATTACTTCGGGGTATCGCATACATCTGCGCAAAGTTGATGTGCCCTTGTATCTCAAGTGGCGTAGAGTAAGAAAACTTCCGAATCCAAAGGATGAAACCTGGTGTCTCATTTATATGAATAATTTCGAGCCGCTTTAATATAGAAACTGATTTTGACTGTTTTGAATGAAGTAATAATAAAAACTCATTAATATTCGTCGTGAAAAGATGAGACTAGACGCAGATTGATCTGTATAGGCCAACTAAGTTTTTATTAGTAAGATCTGAAACTCTTTTCCATTAGAGCTACGCGACACCATAAAACATGTAATCATTCGGAATTATTGTATTATTTTGACGATATTTTTCATCTATTATGGAAATTGCAGTAAGATCAAATTGAATTGGGATAAATATGTATACACATATATAAATGTACATATACTACTAGAAGTACTTTTATAGATCTTTTCTAAATAAATATTATACATTAACGGCAATAATGTCGTATGCATTCTCGTTATAAAGACGTTTATCAAATTGGTGAGAAGGTCGTGTTGTCAAGTACATGGCCATTAACAACAAATTGTTGAGAGTATAAAAGACTGTTGGGATTTTTTAGTGGTTACTTCTTTCATTACTTTTACATTCTTAGGGTACGAGAATTAAAGTAGAAAGTAGAAATTTATCGCAGATCAATGACCTATTGCACATACTTTAAGTTTGTATGTCAGTTTCTCTTAAAATATTCAAAGGTAGATTATAATTTTTAATCTCTAGCAGGAATGGATCTAGCCATGGTTAGAGAGCCATGTAAAAACCAAGGCAAAAATGACTCTAATCAACCCAATGAGCCCAAGCTTTCAGTTACCAACGGTTTGAGGTTTAAGAGGCTTATTATCAACGATTAGCTTAATAGCGCAATATTTGTTTAGAATAACTTGCCAAAATTGTAAAACCCTTTAAAAGAAATTTGTAATGCCCGAGAAGGTTCGCCGTCGTTTCTTGTAGATTGCGCGTGAAGTCATTTACTTTGAATTTAGAAATTGTGTGGCAAACGCACACAAGACGGCACAAAAAGAAGAAAGATTTCAGTTAGCTTCAAGCAAAATGCTATACTAACTTACTTTCTCTTAATAATAATAATAATGTGTTATGTATACTAAAACAATAAGGCAACAAAAGAAAAAGAGCAATGGAAATGAATATTTATTATCGATAAAAAACAATTGTATTTGACTATACATACTGTCTGCGTGAATCGACATCATAACACCTAAGCTTGATTTTTATGGGGGTTATGTAATTTCCCCATTCATTCACTTCGAGCGCCGATCACTTCTCTTAGACGAAAGTGTGAGTAAATCTATTTTTGTTGAAGTAAATAGCTTTCAATACCGTAAACTTCATTCAATTTAGTGAGATTTGCACAAAAAAACATTGTGTTAATGATTAGCATAAAATAATAATAATAATCGTTTTTTAAATTTTTCTTTCATTTTTCATTTAAGGGTTTCAATAAAAGAATCGTCAGTCACCAAGTTGGGTTCGGTATGCCGTCGTGTTTACAGAATTTTTTCGCATGCTTATTTCCATCATCGACGTATATTTGATGAATTCGAAGCCGAAACTTATTTATGTCATCGTTTTACGCATTTTGTCACCAAATATAATCTCATGTCTAAGGAGAATCTTATCGTACCAATTAATGAGGAGGAGAATAATGCAACACCCGGTGAAAGTGAAGCTTAAAAGTTTTTTCAAAACTACAATACAAATTGCATATATCATTCAATATATAGGCGACATAGAAAAAGAAAACGACAAACTTTAGTGCTGGTGCACTGGTTATAAAAAAAGAAAAAAATATATAAACCATTCTCCTTGTCATATACACGCATATATATATATATAGAGAGAACCAATCAACCAATATTAAGTTATGAGAAACCTAAAGGACATCACAAAGGCACACATAAACCTAATATAGTAAAACGAAAATTATTTAAAATAAATGAGCAAACACAAACACTCACGCATCGGAAATGTTTATATATTCTCCACTAATAAAAAGAAGTCATTAATTGGTTTATAAAAAGAAAAAAGTTACGAAATAGGTAAAACCTTCATTATTATGCAAAAGGGAATAATTATATTATATATAGAAAAGTGTATACAACAATCATAAGCGAGAATTTCATAAAACATTACATTTAATTAATATTCATAACAACAAAAAAAAAAAAGAAGAAAAACTCTTACATACGGAAAAGAATTATAAAAAAGAAAGAAGATAATAAAAGTCTATCAATATATAAGCAACTGTAAAATGAGGCGTATTTCCATAACCATAATTTTTTTATATAACAAAAAAAGAAAAACTAATATCTTATTTTGATTATAATCAAATCAAATCCTTAACACATCGTAGCACGTGTTTTTTTTTATACACGAACAGCTTCTATGTATTCGAGCTTAGATTAGATGTTTGCTAAAAGAAAGCCAAAGTTTCAGAAGAACAATGGCCAAGCCTTCGATATGAATTACGATGAAATGCATAATTTTTTAGAAGTGATGCTTCCAATCGGAGAGTTTGAAATGAAGGAATGAAGAACTGTTCGTAAGTCTCAAAACATAATCCAACCATTGCCTACTAGATCTCCTTGTCGCCGAACTACTTTTTACTCGGCAAAACGAGTTTAGATAGTCTTTATATTCATTAAAATTGCGCCAAATAAGTTCACCTTGTAATGATATTCTCCTTTATTTTCCTCTTGAATATACTCTTCGATGCCAATTTTTCACTCGAACGAATTTTCATTCGACACTGACAAAAATGCAATACATTGTCGGCAGTTATAAACACAACTCAGTCCGGAATATTTTAAAGGCGATGCTACAGATGATACAAATTATCTTGAAATATGTCGTTTAAAAGTAAAATTACATCAAGACAGCTCTAATTAATTCATTTTAAAGTCGATACTAAGGAATAATAAAGAAACGCTGTAAACGTGACTTGAAAGCAGTAAAAGCATGGCTGATGGAGGCCGGATACGAATAACTGCTTTTATTATTGTTGGTGTTCTATGGAAGGTAAACGTTGAAAATCAGTTGATTAAAAATACCGCATAGTAGGATCACGCTATCGCGCAAATAAAATTTTATTGGATCAACTACTGTGAAAAAGAAACGGGGAGCAATTATGCAACATGCCTAGGAAGAACAGGTGAATCCGTTGAAAGTGAAGAAGTTGTAGGCTTTCAATCAGATAATAACCATATGGATATGCACGATATGCAGGCCTTTTTGAGAAAGAAACTTTTCTTTTTGTCTTAAGCATGTAACTGAAAGTATGACATTTTTTACTTTATCTAACAATTAACTGAAAGCCGAAATTTTAGCAAGCATTAAATTAATATTTAATTTAAAAGGAATTAAAATCATCTAAATCGGATGAAGCTGCACGTATGGCTGGTTGCTTTTCAGTAATACCCTTTTATGTATCCATAGACTCACTGGTGCGCTCTGCACTTACATTCGGTTTCGCTTGATTTTGCGGTCTTCTAAACTTTGGCTTCTGTTGATTACTCTTATGAGATTTTTTTTTCTGAGATTTTTCCTGTTGATCGATATCTGAAGGGGAGGCATTATTACTGTTTTGGTTATTGTTTTCATTTGTGTTGGTGAGTTGCCGTTGTTCGCTTTGTGGCTTTGGTCTTCGCCTGTTTTGATTCGGCCGCCTCGACGTATTATTATCATAACGTTGTCTATAATTGTGTTCTGCGGATGTTGACGGCGTATTATTACCATCGCTAAACCAAATGTCTCCTTTTGTATTCGGCTTTTGCACACTAAAATTAATGCAAAAAAAAAAATAATTTCAAAAAGTTTTATTAATTTAAAAATTCGAAAACAAATAAGTGAGCGAGTTCAAAAGATGAAGTACAAAATCTCAAGATGAGATCAACTTATTAGTTCGTTTTTTCCATTTGAGTTAAACAAGTAAGGAGCTTAAATTCGGTCGGAACCGAATCTTTTATACCCAAATACATTTATCCTAAAAAATACAAAAGAAGGAACAAAATCTTCATGCTCTATAATGAGGAATGGGCGCGGTTCATTTTTTCTATTTTCGAAATGAAAATTTTCGTCGCATAAGCGTGCGGGGTTTGCAGGCGCATCCTTGGAAAAGTATGCTTTTGCAAATTTGTAGGCAATGCCATTATTTCGGACAGACGAACAGGCCGACATGTTTAGGTGTTTTTCAAATATGAAACTGGCCAAGAATTTGTATGTTTCATGGGGTTTTTGAAGCTTGTTGCTGCGCGTTATAAAGGTATTGAAAAAACAAATAAAGTTTAATGCTCTATAATTTTGGGTAGGCGTGGTCAATTTTTTCCATTTTTATGCACGAACGCTACAGCATCGCCCATAGAATGTGGGCTCAAATTTTTGTAGATTTATTTGCTTTATTTTATGAGTAATGAGCAAAAACCCAATTTTTTATTCCTTTTGAAAAGCAGAGGCATTCTAAGTTTACGTGATGCTGTGGGTATCTCCTTCGATCGATTTGGCCCATTTTCAGTACCAACTTGTGCGTAACAACTTCCAATGTTTCCGCCAAATTTTAAGTCGATAGTTTCATTTCACACAGACAGATGGACATGCTTAAATCGATGTAGAATTTGATGCTGCTTTGTGGTGTCCGTGATGCTTGATTTTTGTAGCAATAAGTAGGTCAACTTTATATTATAACGATTGATCTAGAATCACTCAATAAATTTGTCTGTCCGCCGTGTCTTCTTGTATTCAACCTAAAGGTTATAATTGTTGATATATCTGGATGAAATTTTTTATACAAGTTTCGACATGTTGAAAATGTCTCGAATCGTCGTGATTTTTCGGCTTTTTTCCATATAACACCTTATTTTAAAAAGTCGTTATATGAACGATTGCATTGAGCATTAAGTGATTTAGCATTAAATGATTTAAACGGGCTGTGTCCCACGACAGTGTTTTTAGTTCTTTAAGCATGCAAGTACGCTATTTCCACTCAAGAAAATTAATTCAATACTGAAGGTTGAAAGAAATGTTTCTACTTTTTCTTTATCTCTTTTTTTATGCTCACAAATGAACAAAATGAACGAACTTCCCTTTTTCTACATGGAAATATTCATCATAAATTAAATGCAGTTATTGATCAAATAGAAGAGTAAAATTGATTTAGTCGTTCCATCTGTCTCTACAGCTGTTAACCCACATTCAAATTTCATAAACAAACTAGCCAGACTTGCCTTGCTGCATATACCCTTTTCGGGATTTTTGCGCCACGTTTAATTTCTTGGTTTTAAAGTTTAAATGTTCACAATGCTGTTTCTAAGCGTGTACCAATGTCAGTAGAGTTTTCTATCATGTACCGAAAACGGTACACATGGCGTGTAAATAGCAGTTCGTCACAAGCAGTTTACCGGGAAGTTCTTACGCTATTTTTACATTCGTTACTTTAATTTAAAAGAAGTCAGACAAACAATAATGGATTCTGATAGCTGCAGATATTTGTCCAAGTTCGTTACATACGTGATATGTTACGTTTGTTGTTACATTTGTGGAACCTACGTTAAGTGTGTTAAATTTGAAATGCTGAGTGCAATATGTGCGCAGAATTTGCACGCAGTAAAGACTAAAAGGCTAATGTAAAGGATTTCATATTCGCGTTAGACGCGAATTTAAATGTAAACTTATCAACTGTGAAACTCCATTGTAAAAAGGCTTGTCAGCTATCAAAGAAAAGCGAAGGATTTTATTAGCTGGCACGACAATCAGACAGGCGGACCAAAATTCTAGATAAAATCAAGAAATGTTTTTTAAGAAAGTTCTATTAGCGCGACCTATTTTTTCTAGTTTTATAAATCGTAAGAAATACTTTTGTGTTGTATTAGCACGGACTGTGCTGCATTGAGATGGATGCATAGAGAGGTAAAGAGCCTTTAACAAGCAATAGAATGGAAAATTGGAATATTCAGTGCAGTTTTAAAGGCATGTTTGCTTCCAAAGCTTCAGGCCCACATTTTTTCAAATGTAATAAAAATATTAATAAATATTTTGCTAAGAAATTATTTAAAGTATTACGTACTCATGCACATCATCATTTATGGCATCTAGGCTCATTAGTATATGAATGGAAGGTATTTGACGAATAGCAACAATTTCCTCTAAGCCTTCCATTTGAGGCAACCAATGTTCTTCTACCCTGAAAAAAGAACCATTGAGAAGGTTATGGTTAAGCATTCCATTGAATCGTTTCCTTTTTCTATGTATAATTACGTAGCATAGCAGATGCGCGTCACTTGATAAAGAGGATAACTACGTTTTAATATTTCAGCGCAGGAGATAGTTTTTACTACACCGCCCCCCTGGCCGCTCCACATTACAGTACGGTGTTCACCTTTGTCTAAAACATTCTTTGCATATGTTATCACATTATTGACTTTTGTGCCACCGTTGACCTATAGGAGAAATAATGAAAAACGTTTAACCGCACTGTACATAGTCGTAAACAAAATACTTACGTGCATCCAAAGGAAATCCTTCTCAACTGACATACAATCTTTAAAAGGCAATTCAGACTTCGTTATTGGTTTTTCAATGTTTTCACCTTTACGATAGTGCATCATTTTTTAACAACAACAAATTGTAATGTGACCAATACTTTACTAAAATTAAAAATTTAAATAAATACAATTAAAAAGGAAAGGAAGGTCTTTAAGAAAGACTGCATCAAACAAAATACCACCAAAATCTTTTAAGCTTTACGCTTATTTGTCTTGTAACACTATTTAAAGTTCGTTGGTCGATTATTGAAATTATATTACCTTAGTAATATCTTTACTTATTTAGCTGAATACTTTTTATTATATTTAATAAATGCTTTGCCTCACTAATTGAATGAATTTACTTCAGTTTTAGCTTAAACACCGGACATTAAGAAAACAGCTTTAAGGCTTTCAGTCTTGAAAATTTGAATCAGAAACGCTTTGATTAAAATAATATTTCTTTGAGTAAAAGATAAACAGACTTTTCTTTTTAATTGCATTTTAAAATTCAATTAATAACGGAATCGGGTCAACAATTAACAGAATAAATTCTGTAAGCCTCAGCCATAGTCGTTAACAAACGTGTAAAAGATGCTTTATGCATACACTTGGAAAAATTGTATTCATGATAATACTCAATGATGGTGTTCGAGATAACTCGCATATTGGGCGAACTATTACTGAAAAAATAAGTGATATTCCAGCAAAACGGGAATAAGCTCTGCATGGGCTTGCTGGACATGGTCGAGTTTAATATCTCAAAAACTGTGTAGTAAAGAAAGTTTGTGACTAAAACACGTCACACCTTATCGCGGTTAGACCTGAAGCAACCTTTCAATAGAAAACTGAACAAGTTACGAGCTGAGATCAGAAGAAGCCAATCGGAAGCTAGTTGGCTTCGATTTTCGCAAAACCATCTTATTAGTATTGGGCATCGAAAATAAACTATAAACAAGAGATTTTGGAATTTATACTGTTTTCGGAGATATACCTAAGAAGCCATCTAAAGCTTAGTATACAAGGATGCATAATAGTATCTCCCAGCAGCAGTAAATATGTGCTTTATTTTCTTCTCTTTAAACTTTTTGGACGACCTAATATTTAGTTAAAGAATTCATGTTACGATCAAAGGTCAAAGGTTCGTATTTGTGAGAATTTTTTCAAGTGCGTTGTGAAGATGACGTAGTAGCTCGCAGCTGTAACCAAAACAAGTAAGAAAGATATGTTGACATTGAAGCGACAGTTGGATACCCACCACCTAAGATGAAAATATGGCACTCGCGACGTTTCAAATGAACACATAGGTCACTTCTAATCCGAACCCGTGATTTTAACATATAATGATATTTATAAAAACCTTGTTAATGATAAAAATCTATTCACACTAACTGTCGGTACTGGTAGTACTACTACTACTAGTTAGCTAATACTACTAACGTCGTTAAAGCCTCTACAAGCTATTGTTTGGAACTGGCCCATGTTAACTTCCAGTTTACATCTATGCAAATTATCTAAGCATTTTCTCTCTCATGTCACTTTCTGTGACCTCACGATATTCGTCAAATAAACAGACGAACAAGACGCCATAACTCAATTCAATTTTTTTACTCCGAACAAGTATAGATATGTGTGGGATGATAACATTGAAATATACTTCTGTATTGCAATACAAGAAATCTCGGAAAACAAGAAAATACGAAAAAAATAAATCATAGAACGTCCGTCAATTGATTGTTTAAAAAATAAAATGTAAATAAGCAAACACTTGTTGAGTGAAAGATGTATTCAAATGGCACGGACTATAAATTGGCAAATTTACTCCCGCTTCGTAGATATGCTAAAGCAATCAAATACATAATTGCTGTTCTTATTGTTATTATTATTATTATTATTATTACGTTACACACAACTCAATAAGATTCAATACTTTTCCACTTTATTGAGTACTAACCAAACCGAACGTCGTGTGTACGTAAGAGGTCGTGCTTGATTTATTTATTAATAATGCAAAGGGTTTTGGTTGTTCCCAACCTTTGCTTTTCTGTACAGACTTCTATGACTAGTCGCTCACGAAACGCTGCCGGTGCGTGTGACACGCCTAACGAAGAGGAGGAAAAGCAGACACAATTTTTTGCATGAACTTGACTTAAATGCGTAAGCATCAGGTACGTTAGAATAGACCTCTACACAAGCAAGGTTTTCTAGAGGTGGCCAGCATGATTGATACTTCGGGCATTATACGGGTAGCGCTAACACAAGTTTAAAAAGAATTTGGTTACTGGACAAATAATGTTTATCTCCCTTTGGCCATAAGAGCACTTGTTCACAAAAGTCACGCAGTCCATACTACACTGATGTCTAAGAGTCGAGAGCCAGTGTACACTCTCTCGTCAGTCATTACTTTATGAGCCTTTTCTTGAATGCGGTTTAGCAGTAGCAGAGAAGACTTCGCCCATACGTGCAAACGTCTAATTGCATCTGAAAAGCATTTCGTACTAATACTAAGACATTTGCATTTTCCAGCTGTGTAAGAAATTTTCAATTCTTTGCATGAAAAGGATCCATTCTTTTAAAACATTTGCTTATATAAAAGCTATAAAGATTTCGTTTCTAGCTTAAATTTCTGTTAACTTCGGAAGAGTTAAGCCTTAGTTAGATTTAGTTGCACGAAATTGATTCGCGTTTGCTTCAAATCATGACCTGGCGTTGTAGAACTTCGTTACCGATTTCATCAATAGTCTCAATTCTTTCATAGCACTTACTAAAATTATACGCGCCGTTTCCAACCGATAGAAAGGGGCCACCATAAAGAACATAAGTGTTTTCCAACTACACCATCCTATATATGGTGCTGTTTTTGTAATGCGATCGATTAACATCTCTTGAGCCAACTAAACTCACTAAACTAATTGAATCAAACAAATTTTACGGTTCTTCTACATGAAAACGAATTAACTAAATGTTTGTAAGTGCTTGAGATCGCGAAGAACATTCGTTATCGACAGGAGCTGTTGTTACACGATTCATTTATAGTATATTTTCTGTTCCAATCTTTTCTGTTTTTAACTATTTTTTATCATTCTTCGTTTTTCGCTTGAGTGGCCGAGTAGGCAACTGATCGCGACTAACAACTCAATAGTCGTGGATACAAATCTCAAGTGCGGTAGAGTTTTCAATGATGCCAATAGCTTTAGATGCTGCTTGTGCTTTACGACTTTAGACTTAAAACTCATTTCTCTAACTAAATAAGAGAAAAAAAAATGGTCAATAGAAACAAATTGATTTTCTGAAAAACCTACCTACAGCTAGGGGTATTACACTTAAGAAAAGCATGCAACGTACGTAAATTTTTGACGATTTTGAGAATAAAAGCAGAGAGAGAAGAGCAAACGTTTAAAAATTTGGGCAAAGTGCGCAAAGGGAATGGCGCCAAGGTCAAAAATTTTGGAAATGTTAAAACGATCAGTACAGAAATATTCATGTCCAAGAAGTACTTCGCTCTTGTATGCCAATGAATCTTCGTTCATGAAACCTCTCTAAAAGTTGAGTGCAAAGATGGTAAAGTCTGATCCAAGGGCACGCCCCCAATTAAGACAACATTGAAAACATTGTTTGTCTCCTTCTGTTTGTTTCTTGGAAGATATGCTCTCGAGATTATTTTATTATCTTGTTCTTCGTTTTTTCAGACTTGATAATAGTTTGGCGAACACTGTTTTAATGGCAGCATATTCGCGTATCATCAATAATAGAGAACTTGTCAGAAACATAGTCGTGTTATAAATTCATATCATAAAGATGCTTAACATTGTATTGGAAATGAATGAAATAGAAAATAACGTTTAACTAACTGGATAACGGGCGACTCCAGTGTAGGAGTCATGAGAAACTCAACGTTGTTTTATGTTTTGTCATCAGTAGAAATTGTTCATAAACTTGCCCTTCTTGTTCCAGAAGCATGAGTTACAGAGACAGAGTAGTACGTGAAATGAGGCCACATTTGCGCCTAACTCCTTGTTAGTTCAACAAAAATTCCCACCTCGTACTACTGATTTAATATGGAATTGCACGGGTGAAAAAAGAAATTTTTTCCTTGACAGATATCTTTCAGCAAATCCAAATTTTTGATACATTAGCATTACTCCGTGATGTTGAGCCCGCATGCCCAAGCTTTTGATTGCTCCTAATTCATTTAGTCGATTAAACGATTGCCGAGTAGCCGTAGTCGCCACCATCCCATCGTTGATTACTTGGAATTATCATTGACACTTTCGCCTGCAAATTTGTCGTATTCTCATTAGTCACTGTATCTTTGCAATTCATTGGCAGCTGAATGTCAGGAAATATTCAGGAAAAACGGTACAGTTCGCTTACAATAACATCGTACGAACAATGCATTGGAATCAGCCATGTAAAGTTGTTGTGGTCGGAAGCGAAATTATCTATTCAAACAATTTGAATAATTTAAAAGTTAAAATGCCAAAACAAGCTGCAGCAAATAGTGCAACGTCATCTTAAATCAAAAGGGAAATTACATTGTCCTTGAACTAGATCTATTTAGTAATCATTCTTAGCATGCACTGCAATGAAAATTTTTTTGATATATCGCAACTATACCACACAACTACGTACTTTATTTTTTATCGACATGTATATGCGAGCAGGTGTAAAAAATCAATTATGACCGGTTACGTCATTTGTCGTATAGGGTGTACTAGGACGTAAGTAACATCAACAAGACCTTAAGATAAGCCCAGTATTTATTGCGCCGATTGATTCAGAACATGTGTACCCACCTGTTTAATCTATCGGTCGCCATTTTTTAGATATTTTGATCAAATTTGGTACACCGACAAGTTTTGGCCGCGAAACGAATTCGATTGAAAATAGGTAGGATCGGAACATTTCTACGGCCATTTCCCTCATAATGCCTTTTCGTGGAAAGTTTGTTATATGAAAAAAGAAAAACAAGTAAGAACATTATATTCGCCGGGGGCTGCATCTCGCATACCCACCACTATGTTTTTCGCATTCTATTCACCACGTTGTTTTATTTGATGCCCATATCGCTAGTATTATTAAGAAAAATTTATTTGCGGCGTCCACAATATTCATTTTAAAAT